ATCCCCAGCACAATCATTGTAGCATTCTACTCTTGAGTTCATGGGGAATATTGAACAAGGACCCATTTGCAGCAAAGGATACTCGGAATTTTCCTGTCTTCGTTGATGACAAGGACGTCCGTGTAGCCGTTCGTCATGGCCCGGTGGATGGTACCTTTAACAGATGCACGCTTCCTGAAGAAGAATTTGCAGTTGGGGACCACAGTCATCAGGTCTCTGGCAAAGGCTCGTGTTTTCTGCAAGAAATAAAACATATGCACAGGTTCATGGCAAGCAAGACCAGCATTCTTAACACTCACATGCATACAATGCATGATGTGGCAATGAGCAAGGATGCCATTTCAAGTTTGTATGTAACAGTCCCTCCTGGAGAGAATGAGAACTTAAACAACATGCAAGGTGGGAACAGGATTCTTTGGCAGGTTGAGAAGTGCACCATGTCAAGATACTTCAAAGGGTCTTGCCTAAATTTTGCAATGGAAAAGTTTTCAAGATGTAAATGACCTTGTAAAAGGGTAAATGCAGTGGTACAGTTCAACAAAAAATAAATAGCACACAATAATGACAATTTTCTGAAAGATTGTCACTCTGCTAGTTTTCTGCAAAGAAGTCTTTTCATTCTTGAACTACAGTGAGAAATGTACACCAAAGAATCAGGTAACTGAAAGGGAGTAAAAAGGCAAAAAAATACAAAGGATTTATGCACTGCTTTCACAGCTTTTATGATCATGTAATGTGCTATGGAACTTGAGAGCTACTTCTCCCTTGTGGGGTTGGGATAGGAGGTAACCAATCATGAAAATGCTGCATGGTAAGAGACCAATGCTTTTGTGAGACTCCAGGTATCTTCTGGTAAGTGTAGCATGGTGAAGAAGCATATGGCATGACCTAACATAACAGTTCCCAAACTTCATTGAAATCCAACCCAATACCCTACATCCAAAAACAAGTTAAGCCACGTCATCTCTCAAAACAATGCCTTTTTAATGAAATTATAATCAGTGCTCAAAATTTGATTTTTCTACAAGGAAGAACAAAGAAAGACAAAAGTGATAGTGATAATCCAAGTCAAGATCTCAGTCAATTTCATGCCTGTCGGGTTTAGATCAATCCTGCTCAAGCTTTCCCTTGACACAAACCTACATTTCAACATCCAAGCTGTTTCTGATGGAGAATTTCCAACTGAGATTTTGAATCAAGGATCCTTCAGCTAGGATAGGACTCAATTTTCAGCTGCAATCCAGTGCCTCCATAGCAGGACTGCAGCAGAAAAAGGCATATTAAATTATTGTCGCCCTGATTATAAATTTCAAGCTGCTCCCTTCCTCAATTTTTCAACTAGAATTAGAAAGGAGAAAAATTATATCCTGTGAGATGTGTACATCCTAGCCTTTCAAGACACCATCAGTTAGAAGTGACCACATTCTGATTTTTACCATCATGGGGTCAGTTCTCACAGCCCAACTAAAAGCCTCTCACAACACACAGTTTGAAAACCACTGACCTAGCCCATAAAAATGCACAACTTTAGAACTCTGGTAGATATGGAAAGGGTAGGAACAGGACGAACAGAGGAAGGTAGCTCCGAGGTGGTGATGACAACCCGAGGTTCCTTCTCCTTCCCGAAGTAGGTGGCCATTTCATCCCCAGCTTCTTCCACCTGGATCTCCTCGTCCTCCGGCTCAGGAACGGTGACGTCCTCCTCCCGCGTGTTTTCCAGAGTTCGTGGCTCCAACTTTGGGGGCGCCTCATCGCCGAGTTCCTCCCGCTCCTTCCTCCTCGTCCTCTGACGCTCCTTCTTCAACTGAGATGAAACATCATCAGAGTTGTATGAGATGCATTACATGGCAATGTCATAATAGTCTCTCAATGAGCAGATTACTCAATTGATTTCTCAATGCTAAGAGCATAAGAAAGAAGTGCTCTGTTGAAGGGCATCAAAAGGCCCTAACATTCTCCATAAATTCAACCTTATTTTAAAACATTTTCACATAACCATTTCAGTTTGCATTGCATCAAATAAAACATCCCACTGGTGTAACACCATCTTGAATGGTCACTGATAGTGAAAGTGCAAAATGGCACTTAAGTAATAATGAGATCATTGAGACATGGCAGGGAAACAGTATGAATTTTGTGCTTTTGAAAACACAAATTAGTTAAATGGAACAGAGAAACAGAAAAATAATAATTCCAAAAATAAAATGACTATACATTATATAGCCAAAAGTATTGGGGCAAGCCTCCCACTGCTGATAACAGATCGTCCCAGAGGTCATGTGGTAGGATGACATTATTGTAAATGGTATTACAGGGTTTTCCATTTATCTTGAGACCATGTGTGTGTTGATTTCAAGGAAAACTGTGCAAATAATAATTTAGATTTTGAAATAAATCCATTTGCCACATGTTCAGCCAGACACGTGCGAGTGCAACAACTGCACAGTCTGAAAAACAAACAAATTAAGATCTTTGTGGAGTGAACAGTTGCACTCATACCTGTCTGGCTCAACATGGGGCAAATGGGGCAAATCAGCTGAATTACTGAGCTTGTGGTGGCTATCATCTTCACACTGATGATGTGTGGTTGTGCTTCCTATCAGCCACAGATCCTCCTTCCTTAAATTAGACGATTTACTGCAGAATAGTGGATTTACTGGGAGAGTCTCGTTTTTGAAATTCTCTTCTGAAAGTTCTCTGTACAGTCACTAGTGAGTGACTTTCACAATAATGTTCCACTATCCCTGTACAGTGTCCTAGGCTCCAGGGATCCATGGTCAACAACTTAGCAGTATTTTATCTTCAATCTGAAATGAAAATCAAAAATTTTTATTACACATTTTTCTTTAATGCTTTCACTGCTGAGTTATATTCAGAACCGCAGCTGAGAGTGGAAAAGGAGTACACTCGGGAGCCACAGTGAAAGGGTTAAATCAACATTCTCATGGTCTCAAGCAAAGGTGGAAAAAGTTCTATAACCTGATGACCAGATTACAGGGAAGAGTAGCAACAGATTGGGAAGGCAAGGCAAGCAAAAACGAAATAAATAAGCTTCCCAAACACAGGGTCATCTCTCCCACCTGCTAAACTGGGATGGTAAACCATGGTTACTGGGAAGCAGAGGAACGTTTGCCACCTCTGGTCTTAAGATAAATGGAACACACTGTATATAATGGTTTTCTGCAATCTGTTACAGCTGGTGTTTGCAGGAAGGCATGTGGATTGGAGCTGATGGAGTTTGAACATGGAATGATAGTTGCTTGTCATATCATCCTTTGTCCCAATACTTTTGGCAATGTAGTGAATTGCACCAT